ACCTTTATGTTGTAGTCACATTCTTGTTACATGATTAGATTCTGTTAAAGATTTAAACAATTGAGCAGCTGAAATGGGACATTGACGCTTGTATAGGGACCAAAGTAAGATTTGATCAAATGTAAAGGGGTTTGACTGTTACAATTTTATGTTTAGGGACCAAAGTGTGGTTTGACCAGAAGTGTATGGGGTTAACTGTCATGATTTTATGTGTAGGGGTCAAAGTAGAATTTGGTGAAAAGTGTAAGGGTGTAAAGTGTAACTTACCCTTTTTATTTTATTTTATACCTTTTAGATTCACTTAATTTATATACATTTAAAAATATAAAAAATTTCAATTTTTTTTTTTAAATTTTAAATACAACAAAATACGAAAATGTACTAAATTTTTATATTTTTTGTATTTAAAGAATTTTTAAAAAAAATTTTCACAAATTTTATACTTTTTAAGTGTATTTAGATTAAGTGAATCTAAAAACTAAAAAAATTAATTAAAATATTTTAAAAATTCACTTAGAACAAAAAAATACAAATTAAAAACTCATAAAATTATTTTTGAAAAGTTCAAACCAAACAAAGTAATCCATAATCTAATGCATAAATACATTGAAATGCTTAGAAAAATGTTTTTGCCTTTCTAGATTCTGTTATGGAAGTACTTTATACAAAGTAATCCTATAAGGAAAATGATATATAAGTCCACTTTCTAAATCTAATGATATGTAATATATATGATTGACTGATAATTAGAGAGGATATGAGAGAGAGAGAGAGAGAGAGAGAGAGAGAGAAAAGAAAAGAAAAAATAGAGAGTTATCTTAGATATTGTAATAAATTATCATATCATTAATCTAGATTTGATTTTTAAGCTTGAATAAAACTACCCAATGCATAAATTTATTGAATTGCTCATTCGTTCAATGATAGAGGAAAACTAGTTTCTTATAGTTTGAGGAATGATTCGAAGCTGTAATATCCCTAATAATGTGGGATTTCAATAAAACCATCAATTTTTGTTAATTGTTTTGTTGTCAAGGGATGTAATGAGGTAAAACAATTGATGTAAATGTGACAAAATAGAATTTAGAGTGTAAAAAATTACATATCTATAGGAAAAATAATACGTAATGGAAATAAATTTATTCGGATTATCTTATATGTTGAAACTGAATTCATGGATCATTGGAGAGAATCACATGTTTTCAATGATAAACTCCAACCTTTTTCCATCAATATAATAAAACTAATAAAGAACTATCGATACTATTCAAAGCACAGAGACATGATTCGTTCTCCAATGGTAGGAGTTAGAGAGAGAAAGTAGAGAGATTTTCTGATCTCACACAATACATAATACGTATTTGTATTATATTGGGAGAGATGTAACTACTACGTACTCTATCTTTTTATAAGATGAGATAGTGGGTTGTTCACACTTATTTCCAAGATAAGGTAGTTTACGAATCAAACTAACATGGTCACTAAACAGGTCATGGGTCTTGTCATATGGGCGCCCAAACCTAGGTCTGAAACTCGACCTGATTTCCAACATTTCTTACTTGCACATGGTTTGGCATGACACTATTACATCTCTATCTCTATTTCAATATAACCAAACATCGAACAAACTCATACTTGCCAATGGATTGTACAACCGCTGAGAATACTTGTATGCAGGAGCTATACTATAAATTAAAAAATGAGGTAGCATAGATACATCAACCCAAAGATAGAAGTAATGTCTCATATATCCCAAACCCATCCGGTAATACCGATCCAAGCACCTCTAACCTTTCATGGAGTATGCTTGACCCTCTCATATTATGCAATATTTGCACATGTTCGTATCCTATATGGAACGATGTGAGTTACCAACAATAAATATATAACAAAGGTGTAATATTAGATAATTTTCCATATGCCCTCCTACCATTTAGTTTTGGATTGATTGCTTTCCTAGTGATTTCCTTTGAACCTGAATCATACATGATCGCAGACAACATACTAAAGTAGGCGAACAAATAAAAATTAAAATTAAGCTAAGCACTCAAATCAAAAAAGCGTAATGAAATCAATAGTTAATCAAAAACGAAAATACTATACTAATCACCACAGCCCACAAATAAAAGAAAGGAGACTTACGTATAAATCCTATAGGTGGACTTATTGTTCAATAGGTCCTATGATAATTCATGACATTTTTCATCAAATACTATCAAAAAACGTCACTAAATGTTAATTTTCAGTAACAATTTAAAAATTGTCACAAAAAATGTTACTAATTATAAATTTTAGTGGTAGTTTAAAAAGTCACAAAAAAGGTCACTAATTTCAACTTTCAACGATAGTTTGAAAAATTAGTCATAGAAAAACGTCACTAATTGTAATTTTTAGCGATAATTTATAAAAATTGTTACTAATTGTTAATTTTTAGCAATATATGTAAAAAATCATCACAAAAATTATTTTTAACGATTATTTTACAAAGACTTATTTTTAATAGGATTTGATGAGAATTAAATATAACTATTAGGAGCTATTAATAGTTTTTCATGTAAAAAACAAAAGAGCAATGAATTTAAAAGGGAATTAGGGTAACAATTAAATTTAGGAACAAAGAGTGAGAAAAAGAGATAGAGAACTCACCGTCAATGTCGTATAGATCATTATTGCTTCGTCCTAGAATTTAAACTCATCGATCTCGCTTGCTTATGGTTTGCTTCCAACACGCGAAGGGTATGTTTGTTTGGACGGATTGGATGAAGGGGGATTGTAATTCATCGAACTATTAGTCCTGGAATACATTGTCTCCAGACTATTTAGTTGGACTGGATTTGTGTCCTATATTTGTTTAGTCATAGGATTAGATGTCTGGATTGAACTATTTTTAGTGAATCCAATGTTTGTTTGGAATATTATGGAAAAGGATAAATGCTTAAATGACAATTTTATCCTTTTTAATTATTTACTAAGTAATAGCAATATTAAACATTGCTTTAATATTTTAATTATTTTTAGCTAGATTAAATAAAAATTTATTTTATTTTATTTTTTGCACAATTAAATAAATTTATTTTTAAAAAATTAAATAAATTAAATATAAATAAAAATATATGTAATTTTTTAATTAAAATTTTAAATAATAATAATAACAATAATTAAATAATGAAATAAAATAAAACATCTATTAAAATTTAAATAATGAAATTAAATAAAACATAAACAAAATTTTAAAATAAAACATCAATAAAATATCTATAAAAAAATATTTTTAAAAAATTAAATAAATAAAAAAATAAAAATTAAATTAAAATAAAATAATTTTATTTTTAGTTGAGCAACATTTATAATTTTTTTTGAATTTTACTAAATATTATAACATAATTAAATTCTACGAGGGCAAAAAATGTAATTTTATTGTCTTATCCATGGGATGATTACTCAGGTTCTATCGTCACACCCCCAAATGGCATAGGATTAGGTCCCAATTTGTTAGGGCTAATAGTCTGAGTAAATTTTTCAAACAACAGTGACTATTGTCCGGTGGGCTAATAGATCCAATCCACGCCCTAATCTCAAACACACACCCGGGTGTGTTTTGATGGACGGACTGGATAGGGGGGGATTATATCCATCAGACTTGAGTCCTAGGGACTGTGAATCTCTTGGACTATTTGGTTGGATTGGATATGTATCCTGTGTTTGTTTTTTCAATGGGATTAGTTGTCAGGAAAAGACTATTTTTAGTGAATCCACGTTTGATTTGACGGACTAGATAGGATAAATGAACAAAAGGCCTATTTTAAACCCTTTTCAATTATTTACTAAGTAATAACAATATTTAAACATATCTTTAATATTTAATTATTTTTAACTAAATTAAATAAAAATTATTTATTTATTTTTACACAATTAAATAAATTTATTTTTTAAAATTAAATAATAAAATATCAATAAAAATATATGTTATTTTTTTAATTAAATTTTAATAAATTTGTTTTAAATAATAATAATTAAACAATTGAAATTAAAATAAACATCTATTACATTTAAATAATGAAATTAAATAAATATAAACAAAATTTTAAAATAAAATACCATAAAATATCTATAAAAAAATTTATTGAAAAAAATAATAAACATCATAAAAAGTTAAATAAAATATTTTATTTTTAAATTGAACATTAAATTTTATTGAATTTTACTAAATATAATACATAATTAAATAGTAGATGGTCAAAATGGTCAATTTTCATCACCCCAATCTCAACAGTAAAATAATTCTTCCCCAAGACAAATTGTCCCCACACCCCCCCTAGGATAGTATAATCCCCCATATGAGGGATAAGGAGTCCGACCGGACTTCATGTCTGTCTGACTAAAAAAAACAAACATCGGATTGGATGATTGCCTCAGATTACAATCCGTACAGTAAATAATCTCCCCCTTTTCTCCACAATCAAACACAACCTAATTTCATTGAATTATTAATATCTCACTATTAGTCTTGTGAATCAAATATGACCGAAGTGGATAAAGTTTTGTTACTTAATACATTTTCATAATTTTAATTGGAACACCAAATTGTTTTCTTGGGCCTTTTTTTTTGTCTGTAGTGTTGTGAATTTAATGAAAATGGGGTTGGGCTTCAATTTTGGGCCACTAATATTATTTCAGCCCCCTAAATGTTGTTGAAATTTGGGGCTCAAGGTAGGACTGTACCTGCAGCCGATACAATCAAATGATTCAAATATTTTAAAATTCTGCTAATAATTTAATATATATATATATATATATATATATGAATGTGACACTGATTCCTAATATGCATTGTTTTATAATCTTGATATCATTACTTCACGACTGATACCGATACGTCTTTTGATACCTTATTGCAAAAACATCTTCTACATTTTATGAAGCTTTTATTTGTGTTTAATTTTGTTGAGTAATGTGAAAAATTAAAGAACTATTGAGGTATACATATAACATCTCCACAGGTGACTCGATTACGATGCGGCGGTTTCATCTTTGCCTTCCGCTGCAACCACACCATGGCTGATGGCACCGGAGTATTCCAATTTCTTATGGCCTTAGCAGAAATGGCACGGGGAGCGAATGCCCCATTTGTGCAGCCTGTGTGGCAAAGAGAACTACTCAATTCAAGGAACCCGCCACGTGTGACATGCACACACCATGAATATGATGACAATGTCGTTAATGCTGAGAGCAACATCATATGTGCAGAGGACAAGGTGGTGTTCCGCAACTTCTTCTTTGGTTTCAAGGAGCTCCATGCCCTTCGCATGCTCTTCCCTCCTCACCAGCGTATGTGTTCCACATTTGACTTGCTAACCGCTTGCATATGGAAGTACCGCATAGCTTCCCTACAATTAAATCCAAGTGAGGAAGTGCGTTTGTCTTTTTCATCCAATGCACGCGTGTACTTCAAGCCTCCCTTGCCAATTGGGTACTATGGCAATGCGGTTGCATGCCCAACCGCCTTGTCAACTGCCGGGGAACTAAGCTTAGAACATGCATTGGAGTTGGTAAGAAAAACCAAATCTCTTGTAACAGAAGAGTACATGAGATCGACGATAGACCTAGTGGTAATTAAAGGGCGACCCTTTATCAAATATGAACAAGCCTATTTCGTGTCAGATGTCCACAAAATGAAATTCTCAGATGTAGATTTTGGGTGGGGCAATGCAGTTTTTGGCGGTCCAAGCCTTGTTGGGGAGATGAAGGGTAGCTACTTCGTATACTTCAAGAATGAAATGGGTGAGGATGGGATTGTGGTACCAATTTGCTTGCCCCCTGTTGCCATGGAAAGGTTCATTTTGGAGGTTGAGAGCATTTTCAAGGGTGATGATTCTAACAACTAAACTTCTGTGTCATCAACTCCATGCTATAAAAACTGTTGAATAATTTGCCATAATTACTCTATGTGTAATGATTTGATTCGCATTACACGAAATGCACATATTTGCAGTATGTATTTTCTTATTATTTTATAACAATTTGCATTTTACCATTACAACCTAACTATTTACAAATTTTAGCTTGATATACTTTGTTTGGTTCATTCTCAATAGTTATATCTTTTGTGGACAATTGGTGAATTAACACAGTATGAAAGAAAGAGATGGACCTAAATGCAACCTATTTAAGGGTCTGTCATGATCAAAGCTTTGTTCTAGAAAATTATGGATTTATGTTTTGTTGCATTTGTTATCTTTGTCATTGTGCATTCTTTTTTGTATGTCTTCGTTATTTTTTTCTCATTCTATTTTTTTCTCCATATATAAGATGAGATTATACGTGAAGCAGAGTGATAATTTAATATATATTATTAGGTCCATGCCCAATGACTTAATAACTTTTGAAACAGTTAATGACTTAATAATATCGAAACTTTTGTTATTTTTTTCTCATTCTATTTTTTTCTCCACATATAAGATGAGATTATATGTGAAGCAGAGTGATAATTTAATATATATTATTAGGTCCATGCCCAATGACTTAAACTTTTGAAACAGTTAATGACTTAATAATATAAATAAATGTATGCATATTAACCCACAAGCATCCTAGTTTGTCCCCAAATAGGGCATAAGCATGCGGAGGGTTCAATGCTAACAATGGTAAAGTGATAAATATAAGAAGATAAAAATGTTATATCCTTCGAAAATGAAATGGGTGAGGATGGGATTGCGGTCCCCATTTGCTTCCCCCTGTTGCCATGGAAAAGTTTGTTATGGAGCGTGAGAGCATTTTCAAGGGTGATGATTCTAACAACAACAAAACTGGTGTGTTCACCAACTCCATGCTATAAAAACTATAGAATAATTTCCCATTATTACTCTATATGTAATGATTTGATTTGCATTACACGTAATGCACATATTTGCAGTATGTATTTTCTTATTATTTTATAAGAATTTACATTTTACCATTACAATCTTACTCATTACAAATGTTAGCTTGATATATATTGTTTGGTTTATTCTTAATAGCTTTATCTTTTGGGAACAATTGGTGAATTGACATAGTATGAAAGAGGGAGATGGATCTAAATATGGATAGGGTGATTTTGAACTAAACCCCTCTCTTTTTCTCTCTAAAAACCTCCACCCTCGGGCCTCACTTTTGGCCAGCCAGCCGCTGCCTTTGGCTATGGCGGTTGGCTAGTCCAGCTCTCTCTTGTGTTTGTGTGTTGGTTTTTCCTTCTAATAAACTTGATTCCCACAATGTTTTCCCACTTAGTTGTGTTTTGTGTGCTGCCGATCTTAAAATTTTTGGTGTTTGTTGCCCTTTTTTGGATGATTCATTGGAGTTGTATGTTTTGTTTCAATAGGGGGTGCTTGGAATAGGGGTCAAAACAGGGTAGGAGGTCAACTTTGGACCAGAATAGAGGATGTTCAGATCTGGTTAGGATCTTCATTCGGGCGCTCCTTTGCGAGTGGGAGTTTGAGGGATGAAGTCTGGTTTGGCTCTATGGAGATGCTTCGCTGCTTTGTTTGGGGGGAAACATTGGTGTTGAAGTTAATCCAGATCTATCTAAGATTTCATTTGAGCGCTCATTTTTGAGTGGAAATTTGAGGGGTGAACTCTTGGAATAGGGGTCAAAACAGGGTAGGAGGTCGGCTTTGGACCAGAATAGAGGATGTTCAGATCTGGTTAGGATCTTCATTCGGGTGCTCCTTTGCGAGTGGGAGTTTGAGGGATGAAGTCTGGTTTGGCTCTATGGAGATGCTTCGCTGCTTTGTTTGGGGGGAAACATTGGTGTTGAAGTCAATCCAGATCTATCTAAGATTTCATTTGAGCGCTCATTTTTGAGTGGAAATTTGAGGGGTGAACTTCATCCAGATGTATGGAGGTGTCTCGACGGTTGTCGATGTTTTGGGTTCCAACACCGGAACTTCTGCAGTGGGTGTGTTCAGAGTTTGGATCAGAAAAGATGTGTTTGACCATGGAAGTGGAGATGGCAGTAGGTTTTGTTCGGCTGTGGTAGTGGGTATTGATCGTCCTTGGGTGTGTTTGGTTGTAGTGAGTATTCGGAGTTTTGAATCGGAAAAGAAGTGTTCCGACCATGGAAGTGGAGCTGGGTGTTTAACGGTCTTGGTAAGCATGGCCGATGGAGAGGTAGGAGTGAAAGTCTCTGATCAGTGGGTGAACAAAGAGTGCTTTTACTTTTGGTGGAATCAAGGAGTGCAACATGCATGTCTTTGTATTGGGTTTTGTGGGTTGAATTGTGAGGTTTCATGAATTTTATTTTTGTTGAGTTAAGTTCTTCTTACCTCTTTTATTTTTATTTTCATTATTATTTAAAAAAATCATGAGGCTGAGGGTCAGTTATATGAGTGCGAGTAGCAACAGTACGAGTAATTTGTACTTCCTGAATCTCTCTCGATCCAGGTCATCTTCCTATACCTTTATTTTCTAAATTCTACCTATGTGGTAAGCTTTCCGAACTGTAACGCCCTGAAATAAATGCCATAAATCGGCCCCCAGCAGCATATACACAATGACATAAACAAAATAGTAATCTTTCATTAATCAGAGTTAATTTATAAAAAAGTGATACGTGCGATATATATTCATAAGCTCTACCTTGAATCTATAGCATGTGATACCAACTTAAAGATCAACAAAATAAATGCCATATAGGCTTACATCTTTCCAAGACTATGCTTGGTTACAACAAAAGAGATAGTCTTAAGCTCCATACATATAAAGCCCTAGGCTTGTACAAATATTAAATACAAAATGAGAAAATAGAGCTTTCAACTCCCAGGTCCTCCCAAGCTAAGTTCTTGGAGGAAGCATGTCACCAGTACCTAAAAATGGTTTCTCAAGTAGGATGAGCCAAAGCCCAGTAGAAATAATCTAACACAATATATGAATATTAATAAAGATATAAGTATGATGCACATGTTCAGTTCCCAAATGACAAATCTTTTATAACCTTTTCCAACACCATGTTATATCAAACTTACATCTCCATCCATTATTTATTCCCACTTCATTTAGTCAACCAAATAGAGGATACACCCCATTGGCCTTTAACCAACATAATTATCATACAAAATACATTCACTTGCCATTTTACGAAAATTTTGTCCGTGGGAATTGGCACCCATATATACGTGTGATTTTTCGAGACTTTCACCCTACAGGCTAACTTAGTTTAATGGAGTTTATCCCCTTTCTCTTCCCAAACATTATACATGTACAATGTATATAAATCATAATCATATTTAATGATAATGACTAAGAGATTTGTTTCAATTTGCCTAATCCACATGCAATTTCTACAACAATCCTAGCTATCCTCCATCGATAGCTCAAAATAGATATTTCTAAACAAATATACAATATTTATAATAGGTAAATTGTCCAAGTTTCCATAGGAGCGAGATAATACATATAAAATTCCACCTTTTATATAAATACCCATCCAATTTCATATTCCCAATACCAATTTCATTATTTATACAAAATAATTAATCAAGACATTTTAGGGCAAAACCCCCATTTTTCCCAATTTCACGCCAAACACCAAAATCAACTATTTTAACACAACACAAGCGCATATCTACTCCCATAACCATTTCCAATACGTTAATTCGAAAACCCCACTTTTGATTTTAACCTGAACCCTAGGTTTGTTGAAAATCACAACAAGTCTTAACATATCTTACTCATTAACAAATAACCAAGTTAAAACTCATAGAAGAGTGTAGAAAGTTGCTACCTCAAAGTGACAAGACGAGCAAAGTAAAGGGAAAACTTCAAAGACACCGAAACCTACTTTTGTTAGGATGAAAAGAGAGCCCACGACGTGCTCTACCTTTTAACGAAGGCACAAGGGTGGAGAGATCACTAGATCTAGATGAAAAGTAGAGAGAGGGTAGGTTTTAGAAAGAGAGGGTTTCAACTTTAGGGTTTGGAGAGAAATAGATCTAAAAAAGTGATGTAAAAATTCATTTTCGCGAACTGATATACGCACAATCCGCTCGAGCGTAAGAGTTGACACTCAAGCATTAGACATAATAAGTTGTTCCGCTCGAGCGTCACCGCTCGAACGCAAGAAGTGACGCTCGAGCGCTAAGACACAAAACAAAAGGCATTACCGCTCGAGTTCAAGAAGTGACGCTTGATCGTAGAATACACACATCTAGTAGTTTTGCAGACAATAGACCAACGCTCGAGTGCCCACTTGTAGACGCGCCCGCGTGGGCCTCATGCTACAGCTCGGACTCGATTTGTGTCACGGTTCTTAATCTGAACCAAAGAGTCCAAATCTGGCAAATCGTTTTGAGAAACAGATTTTTGAAAAAGTAGTGCCAAACATGGACTGCTTTGCCAGATACAGAGTCGCCACCTAAATATTTTAAAATGGGGGAATTTAGGAAACCCTGACTCGGTGCCGAAGGCCACATGTCCGTCATCACCGGAGTTGTCTCGGCTCGGGAGCTTGGGTACGATCGGGGAAGGTCAGCTATGAGCACCCCCTTTCGCCCGGTCCGAAGACCGGCCTCTACTAACCGTGATATCCGTTTTTGAAAGCTTTATGTGTTCTTAGACCAATTGTTAGCCTAGAATTACTATGTTATGCGCGCAGCAAACAAGTATAGACCAAATCGCCCAAATTGGAATAAAACATTTCATGTTTGTTTTGAAAATGGTTTGCTACTCGTAAGTAGGCTAAAATGCAGATTTTGCCACTCTCAAGTGGGCTTTTAGAAAAGATGATTTTGCCACTATCTAGTGGGCTTAAAACTTCACAGTTTTAATGCATTATTCCAATTTAGGTAATTCAACCTCCACCCACAGGCATTCAAGCAGTTTATCATATAAGCAGCTAGCCTCATGGTAATCATGCTATCATGGCAACATTCACACGCATGCGATATGCTAAAGCATAAAAGCTTACCTAGTACTCCGTGCCAAAATAATAAACTAGTTAGCAAACATGCATGACCTAGTTCATGTTGAGAATGGCTAATGCATCGCATGTAAAAAAATGCAATCTAG